CCCATTTTGTTAAGAGTTTTTGTCATAAATGGATGTTGTATCTTGAAGACAGAGAACATTTTTAACGCTCCAGAAAGTTCCTCATGTCTCCCAATAGCCAATTCCTAGTGTTCCTCACACCAAGCAATATGATTCTGATCTTATTTCTTTCATCATAGAACTTGCTTTAGAACTTCGTGAAAATTGAACCATAATATATGTACTCTTTTGTGTCTGGCTTTTTTTTTTTTGATTCAACTTAATTATCTCTGAGATTCATCCATATTGTGTGTATGAGCAGCTCATTCATTTTGTTTGCTGTGTGGTATTCCTTGTATAAACACATCACAATTTGTTTATTCATTCACCTGTTGATTGGCATTTGAGTTGCTTCTGGTTTTTAGCTTTTATGAGTACAGCTGCTATAGTCATTTATGTACAAGCCTTTCTGTGGACGTATATTTTCACTTCTCTTGGATAAACACCTAGTAATGGAATAGCTGCTGGGTGGTAGAGTAGGCGTATGTTTAACTTGATAAGAAGCTCTGAAACTTCCAAAGTGGCTGATGCATTTTACTTTCCTACCAACAATGTGCAAGAGTTACATTTGCTCCAGATCTTTGCCAGCACTTGTCGGTATCTCCTTGTGTTTTTCATTTGGATTTTTCTGATGACTAATGATGGTGAACATCTTTTCATATGCTTATTGTCATTTTTATAGCTCCTTTTATGAAGGTTTATTTAACTCTCTTGCCCATTTGTTATTGGGTTGTTTGTTTTCTTATTTTCGAGCTTTGAGAATTCTTTCTATATTCTGGATACAAGACCTTTATCACATATCTGTTCTATGTGTGTTATATTCGTATGTCTACATGTATTATGTCTGCATTATCACGTATATAGAGTGACTGTTTCCTTGCAGTCTGTGGCATGCTGTCCCAGGCTCAGTGTTTCACTGGAAGGATCTCACAGGACTCAGAAGTTGTTATACTCATGGTTAGTGCTTCTTACACCAAAGGGACTCAGAGTAAAATCAGCACAGGGAAGGTGCGTGGGACAAAGTCTGGAGGACACCAGGCATAAGCTCCCACGTGGCCCCTCAGGG